ATATATATGGCTAGGTAAGACATCATGACAGAAGAAAACTCCTTCTCAGTGGAAAGAAGACTTGCAAAAAATCATGACTATCAACTAGAAATGTATGGGAATTATATGAAAGAAAATCATAAAAACCAAATAATCTAAACCTGAAAATAATGGAGAGACTTTCCAGATAGGAAGACTTGTCATCCTGTAGCCTGTGTGTCGTGGACATGGTGTCTAAATAATGCTTAACCATCTGAAGTCCATAACCCTCCCTACATTACGTCTCTTACCACTGGAGTTGTGAGAAGTAGCAGGGCATGGCTTATGCGCCACTGGCCTCTGTCTTTTTGGCTTAGACTTTGAGTATTGCCTGTACCATGGTGGCTCCACTATAGAATGCATCTTCTTTTTTGGGGTCCTAACTGTCATTCCCAGCAACCATGTGCGAGTGTAGAAGGCTCAATGATTGGGAAGGTTGCTGTGGGAGGTGATGCACTGTCCTGCTCAGCCCAGTTCCACCTAGTGGCTCACTCTTTCCTTTCCTCCTATCTCATTCATTTGCTAACAGTAAACATGTATGACTTGTAATTTTATAAGCAATTCTAATGCATTTTAAAAAACTAATGTAAATTTTACCCCTCTCATTCTAGGATATGGTGGTACCAGGAGACGATAAAGTAGAAAGTTGGAGTCAAACATTGGATGCAGAAATTTTGGATTTTTCGTCACTTTCTCTTTAGAAAAAGTGCTACCTGTTAACAATTGGGAAAGGGGGATATTCAAAAGTTCTGTGGTGTTTTGTCCTGTATAGCTTTTTGTATTCTATTATTTGAGGCTAAAAGTTGATGTGTGACAAAATACTTATGTGTTGTATGTCAGTGTAACATGCAGATGTATATTGCAGTTTTTGAAAGTGATCATTACTGTGGAATGCTAAAAATACATTAATTTCTAAAACCTGTGATGCCCTAGGAAGCATTAAGAATGAAGGTGTTGTACTAATAGAAACTAAGTACAGAAAATTTCAGTCTTAGGTGGTTGTAGCTGATGAGTTATTACCTCATAGAGACTTTAATATTCTATTTGGTATTATATTATTTGATGTTTGCTGTTCTTCAAACATTTAAATCAAGCTTTGGACTAATTATGCTAATTTGTGAGTTCTGATCACTTTTGAGCTCTGAAACTTTGACTCATTCAGTGGTGGTGATGGCCTTCTGGTAAGTGAGTATTACCTTCTGTAGGAAAAGGTAGAAAATAAGCTCTAGAAGGTTATTGTGAATGACTGTGTGCTGGCAGAAATGCTTGAAACCTCTATATTCAGTTCATAAGAGGTAAAGGTCAAATTTTTCAAAAAAAGTCTTTTAATAACAAAAGCATGCAGTTCTCTGTGGAATCTCAAATATTGTTGTAATAGTCTGTTTCAATCTTAAAAATAATCAATAAAAACAAGGGGTTTAGTCTCATTCTTTCTATTAGCCTAGGCACAAATAAATGTTACTTTTTAAAAAAAAAAAAACCCATTTTCCCAAAGGGGAAAGTTCATGCAGAAGTTCTGTCTCCCTAAACAATAATTTTATGTGGTAGTCATACCTTAGTCTTTTGGTAAATGTTTTCAAAAAGCAATTTAGAAATGGTCTGGAAGCCTCTGCCAAAAAATAGCTTTTTAAAAAAATAATTAAATCTCCAAACATCCCAACCCATCAGAGATTGCATGGTTACACTTAGTTAAGCTTCATAACCTGAAAACCCCAGTTTTATATCTTATGTGTTTAATGATTTTTACTATTTAAAACTGCAGTTACTTTTCACCAACCAATAGGAACTAATTTAAAACAAACCCTTATTAAAACTTTAAAATATGATTTAGGGGATAGTTGCAAGGGTATTGCGATTAGAACTATCCTCTCTTCATCAGTGAAACAGTAGAAATTTTA